GTGAGATGGAACACTGGGAAGGCACAGGTTGCCCAGAGCAGCTGTGGCTGGTCCATCCCTGGAAATATTCCAGGCCAGGTTGGATGGAGCTTGGAGCACCCTGGGCTGGGGGAAGTGTCTCTGCCCAGGGCAGGGGGTGGAATGGGGTAAGCTCTAAGGTCCCTCCAACCCAAACCATTGTGAGATCCCACGGAGACAACGAATACCGCGGAAAGGCAGAAAAAATGAGAACATTTAGGCGGTGTTAAACTGCAGATAATTCCCCCCGGGCGCGGATTCCCACGGAATTCCCATAGGATTCGGTTGCTATGGATTTATTTTCCAGCCGCGCGGAGGCGAGTGCCACCGCCCGGTTCTATGGTGTAATGGTTAGCACTCTGGACTTTGAATCCAGCGATCCGAGTTCAAATCTCGGTAGAACCTACCGCTGGTTGCATACTTTTCTTTTTTTCCCTATCCCACAGCTAATTTTTCCCTGTCCCGCAGCCAATTCCTCGCGCAGGGAGCGCGGGCCGAGCCAAGGACTGACCCAACCGGGGTGAAACCTCAGCACATGAATCCCAAAGGATTTCCTTCACCTGAACTGTGCCATGCCATTCCCACCTTTCTTCAGCGGAATAAACAGTTGGACAAGTGACTAAAACAACAAGTAAGACCTTAAATAATTCCTACTACAATTTAATTGGGTCTTTCATTATATTTGACTGGGTTTTTTTACATTAAGTCTTTTGTTTTGAGAGGAATAAAGGCATTTACACTGTGGAGAGTTTGATTTTCAGTAGATAAATGTGCAGAATTTGGATCTTATTTTATTTGGAAAATAGGGGCAGAAATGCAATGGTTTCAGAGCAGGTCTGAGCTCACAGAACTGCACAAGGTAACAGGTATTCCCTCTGCCTTGCTGACACAAACCCTCAGGCTTCACAGTTTCCATTCCAAGAGTAGCTAAGGACATCTCAACACTTTGGCTCCTCTTCTCTAACCCTGTCCTCACTAGGCACTTGTTCACACAGTGCTAGGAACATCCCTGCTCTGTGCCAACAGCTCCTCCTCCTTTTCCCCTGGCCAAGTAACTCCTCTGTACTGTCCTTTGGAAAAGCCACAGCACAACATGAGACCACGTTATTATCCTGTGGAATTTTGGGTCCAACTACTCAGGGAACATAGAGAAATGTTTGCTGAACTCATTAAATTTTCACACAACCTGTTGATGAGAAATCTCTTCCTCACCTATGTCAGGACTAATTTTCAGCCTTTCCCCAACTGTCTGTTGGATCAGGCCACACACAAATAAGGATTTTTTTGTTCCTTGTGCACCAATGTTTTAGTTAACTCTCTACAGGAGCATTAGCTAACCAGTGAGCCCTCACAGCCTGAATTTATGCAGCAGCATCATCCTCTCCAGGCAGGACAGCCCTAAAGCCACAGGCTGCTTGTTTGCCTTGAGAGCAGATTATCATTTCCTTCTGCAATCCAACAACTTTCTCCTTCCATTTACCAGAGTTTGAGGGGTATCTGTAAGCCAGAACTCCCACAAAGTGCTGATGCAGTGTTATTGCTACACTGAGCATTCCTTATCAGTTCCCCAGACAATGCTCCTGTGTGGAATCAAATGGACTGAGAGTTTCCTATGGAACGAGACAGAATCAGTGCAGAATTGAATATCAAGATTTATTTAGGACAATTCATGGTCATGCTCCATTTGAAAACAAAGCACCAAAATTTGGGTAGCTGAACATTGTCCAAATGTCATCCAGCTGAGACTGCTGCATATGGATATATCCATATGCCCATGGCACTGACCACAGTGGACACTCACAGGTGCTGTGGCTGAGAGAAACCTCCTGCAGAAGGCAAAGGGACTTCCCAACATGCTGGAGCAACCTCAGAGTAAAGTACTAGAGCCCAAGGTACCAAGCACTTGACAAGCTCAAGTCAAGAATACCCCAAATTTCCAAATTATTTTAGCTTTTCCAGTTACTTTCCCCACTCGTTTAGTATTTTTCTAAGCATCCTCTGGAGACAAGATTGTCTCAGCACATTCAAGGAGAGGTAAAGCACTGTGGCTGTGGCCACACCAGGAGCTTTTCCCATTGCCGAAAAGGCAATGGAAATTATTGGTTGCCAAAATCTAATCAGGGAACTAAATAGTGATGTAGTTTCAGAACTAGATAGATGTATTGCCAACAGTAAGTGTCTTTTCAGCTGCAGATTTAAAAGCCAGAATCAAACCTCAGGCAAACATTTCACTATATATGAAGCTGCAACAAGGTTTTCTGACACATTACAATTGCAGTGACAGCAGGTGGAGGAGGAAACTTATTACAGCTAAGGGAAAAAAACTTCTCTTTCCTTTTAAACTGCCACTTTGAAGAAAAGGGCTATAAAAACCTACAACATTTTACTCCCGAAAGTCTTATGAAAGAAAAGCTGACCAAAAAAAAAAGACAAGTCTTAGTTCCTTAGGTCACTAGTGTTAATACAGACAATCCACATAACCCCTAACAGCTGCACTTTGATGCCTTCCTCATCTGGAAACAGAATTCTGCAGCAAACAATCTACCAGCTCTCCACACTACCCCAACAGGTTAAACACACATGAGTAGATGAAGCAATGATGGATCCAACTGAAAGAGTTTATTTTATACACACTGAGCCACTGATTTCCCTTGCAGTAGGAGCAGAGCACAGATTGACTTCACCCCCTGAGCAGCTCATTTCTAGGGTCCCCCATGGGCACAGGAGGGAGGCAAAGGGAGCAGGGACAGCAGTGCCACTGCCCCTGGGAGGATCTGCCACCTCCCAGCAGGGCAGGGGGTTCCCTTCAGAACAGCCAGGCAGCTCTTGTGTGGTTAGCTAAGATTTCCATAGGAAAGCAAACCACTTTGTACCATTTCATCCAGTATATGCACATAAAAAAAAATAATAAAAAAAAAAATCAACACACCAGCAAACCACTTTGTACCATTTCATCCAGAATATGCACATTAAAAAAAATAATAAAAAAAAAAAGAAAATCAACACACCGGACAGAGAGCAGAAGCAATATAATTTAAAACATGCAGCCAGCTACAAACCATATATACAAACAGGCCTGTACAAAGAGAACAGGAGCACTTCAGTACATGATAATTCTCTTGGAGTTTTTGGAGGAAATCATGGCAGAGAAAGAAAATCAGACCAAAGGAGTTGGATGTTGCTTCTAAAAGTAAATCTGTTCCAAAATGTCATGCAACATCTTTCTCTAGCAGACACTTATTACAGTTCCAGCTACACACAGGTCTTCCCACGACTTCTGGACTCCCTTCCTGTACAGAGGTAGATTTCTGTCGAGGTTCTGATATTGCACCACATAAGGATCATGATTTTATTACAAGGAACAACTTACAAAGGCTAATTTATGTATTTTATGGGCATAATCTCACTGTGTGCATTCAGGTAGTGCAGTAACCAAATTCATTTGCACCTGAAAGAAAACACCCCTCAGAAAAAAAATGATTTATTTCCTTCCAATGGGAAGCTGCAGTTACTGACAGCTTCATATTAAGAGAACTCTCTCTTGTCATCAGGGTGACATTTCACTGTCTCTCTCCTGTGCAGCCTCCCTTGCCTAGCCAAGGCCAGACTTGCACTGCCTCCCCTGATGCTCCATTCCATCCCCTGTGTTCAGCTTAACTGAGCATTTCAAACACACACAGGTTGTTGCAGGATTAGATGTTACTCACACAGGCAGTTGTAATATTAAGGAAATTTAGCAGATTCATTCAGACTGCTTGAAGTGATTAAAAAAGCCCATCCACACTTTCAGGCTGGGCAAGGAAAAATGGAACTTTGCTGGCTTCAAACAGCCATTAATTGTGAACAGAGTTGATCTCCTAGGAAAATCTGGACAAGTCTGGCAGGAGTTTAACTTTCTTTTGTCCATCACATTCTGGAATAACCCTCTGATAGCTCAGGACATTGCAGAGCATGTCAGTGCCACCCTAAGATGTCTGTTAAATGAACCTCTACAGCATAATTAAAAAGTAAGTGCACCAAATTCACCATGCCAATGCTTTGGAACTTGGATGGGCTCACAAGCATTGCTCAGTGTTTGTTCTCAGAGGCACCCCAGGAAGTTATTTTTGCAGAAGTCTATCAACAGGAGGCAAATGAAAGAACAATCTGGCATTGTGTGTACCAAACATGAGGGAACCAAAGTGCTGAGTGTGGCTCAGCAGACAGAGCAGAGCTGCACATTTCACTCTCAGAGAGCAGCCAGACAAAGGCAGCAGCATCACTTCCTAGCTGCAAGCTTCAAGGAAAACTTAAAAGGAAAGAAAATTCTCTTTCTGTACCAACTAACCTATTTGGAACTATTTTTGATGAAGGATTATAACCATTTAGCATTAGCTTCCCAGGTTCAGTTTCCGTGGAGCATCCTGTGACATTCCATCAGTAAGGAATGGTGGCTAGTGTGGAACTCATTAGTTTTTGCTGAATTATGGATACAAGGCATATAGAAATTCATTACATCTCTCCATATACTCACTTGTCCTTTGAAAGGGCTTTTTTGGTAACAAGGCAAGTAAATCCCAAGTTACTTCACACCAACTGCAGCAATACTGAAATTCCTCCAGTGTTTTCCCATGATGACAGGGACTGCACACCTGGGAGCAGGAGTCAAATCATCTCACCCTCGTGGAGGAGCCCACTGCATGAAGGGAATCCTTCACTGCAGGGAGTGACTCCAGGAGGAATCACACTCCCTGCCCCTGGCAGAAAGGGTTTATGTACCTTGCAAGATCATGTTTTGAATGAAGAAATCCATGAGATGCAGGAAGTGACACACAGCAAAAGTTAAAGGATGGTGGCAGGAACCAGGACTTGTGGAGATTTCTCTGGTTGTGAAAAGCAATGGTTCTTCCCAAGCAACATCCCCAGCTGGGCAGTTCCCTAGTGCACAGCATTGCATAGAGGTGTCCCAGTGCTGACCCTGCGAGCTCAGCACAGCTCTGACCTTGGAGTTCTCACCACTTGATATCCAAACTGCTCACTGTTTGATTGACTGCACTGTACGTGGTGTGCAAAGTTTCCTGCACCTTCTTAGAGTCCATGCCCTCCAGCCAGTCCTGGTACATCTTCTGCACGTGCAGGTTGGTCTCTGGAAGCCTGACAGGAATGGCAGTGTACACCTCTTCCATCTGGGCAAGGAGGGCTCTGTCTGGTTTGCCATCCTCAGTCTGGGCCTGACCTTTGCCATTCAGGCACCCTTAGGGGACAAACAAATAAAAAAGCCTCAAGGGTGATAGAATTTGATATGAAGAGAAAGTTTTTCTTAACTTGGAATTCTCTTCTCACACTGGTCAAAAGTAAAAATTCTCTACCTAAACTCTCCTCAATGCTGTTACAATGTGTATTTACCTAAAGTGACTCTGCTATCAACATCATATTAATAGAAATGAGGTTTCCATATCAACAATCTTTCTGTGCCTTCTCCATGGTTTTATGATCCTAATTATGTTCCTTGTCTTTTCTTGCCCTTGACAACCACCATTTCAGGGTATTTCCTCTGAGGTCTGAAATAATCAGAAGAGCTGTGCTGCCACTTATTTATAGGCCAGAAGAGAGCAAGGAACTTTGTGGCTAATTTTAGACAACCCAATCAATTTCTGAGCCGAGGCAGCACATGTAATTGGTGTTCTGGACCCTTCATTACATAGTGAGCATTTCAGACTATTAGAGAATTAGGAGGGGATGAAATGCAGTGCCTGCCTGTCAGACAACTTTCCTTTCAGACTCAAGATGTGTGTGCAGAACTACTGGGGTCCCACAATCACTCTTACCTCCTGGGCAGGCAAGGACTTCTACAAAGTGATACAAAAATTTTCCTTTTTTCAACTTCAGGACCATGTTTTGGATATTTCTGAAGCCATAAGCTGCTGCAAAACGCAGCACTGTCTCCCCATCCTTCTCAAGGGTAACTTCTTGAAAGTCCTTGTTCCTGTCAAGATACAGAGAGAACATTTTAACACTCTTCATTCCCTGAGGGACAATCCAACTGTGTCAGTTTGTATTGAAAAGGGAACAGAACAAGTGTAACAGTGAGATCAAGGTGAACTCTTCCAGTTTCTAAACTGAGTTAAACAGAAGTTGGGGTGGAATTTTCAGAATAGAACTATATTGAATTTTTAAGTGTAAGTTGTTAATCAAATTAAAGCCAACAGGAGCCAATTGACAGTGACAGGTTTAGAACAGGTCACTGCCTATCAGCCCAAGAGCCATGTTAGCACTAACTACATTCACTGCAGCACTAACGAAACCTGGGGGGGTTAGACTGGACTTCAGAAACCATTTCCATACCCAGAGGATGGTCAACCCTAGAACAGCCTTCCCAGAGAGGCAGATAACTTTTGGTCAGCCCTAAATGCTCAGAGAATTGGACTAAATGATCACTGTAGGTCCCTTCCAACTGCAAATACTCTTACTCTAGTCTGACCAGCACATTCTACATAACAAGGATCCAAAACTGTTTTTAACTTACTTTAATGCTTTGTAGGTGATTTCCTTGACATCCATGCCAAAAAGTTCCTTTGCAGCATGTTTAAAAATGTGCTCCAGGTAACCATCAGATCTCTTCCCCTCATGCCTTACTACATCTCCCTCCTTTATTTCATCAAACCTTAGAAAAAAACCAGAAAGGAAGATTAAGTCCAAAACTTCATTCTTTCACATCAGTAAAATAGGATGTTTCTCCCCTTCTCTGTCTGCCCCACCAAGAAGTGCTTTGTGGCACTGAGAACATATTAATTCATTACAGCTTTAAAAATGTAAACTATTCAGGACAACAGTAAGAGTATGAAAAAAAAAAGTATGAAGGGTTTTCCATGTTCAGAAACCTTGAGCAACAGTAATTTATAGGAATGCACACTCAGCACAGCCTAGAGATTTGGTTAAGAACCATTCACTGCTCAGGAGACATTTGGAGGGGTAAAATGAAATACATTCATTTAAATAAACAATACTTTTTAGCCTGTGAGAATATAAAAATACTTCAGAAGTTCCAAGTCTTTGCTAACAAACAATTCTCCTATTCCAGGAGCTGTTTGTCACACTCTGTAACACTGTGCCAGTAAGGAATCTCAAACTGGTACAGCTACAACCAGGTTAGAATGGGAAAGAAGAAGAAGAGCTGGGAAAGAAGTGCTGCACTATGTTTCAGAAAAGCAAACGAGTGGGATCTTATCCCAAGGACATGGCATTCACCTGGAGGTTCACCTCTCCCCCAGTTCTCAGCAGCTGAGCTGAGCACACGTGGCTCAGGACAAGCTGTCCCAGGACACGTGCTGGGCTGGAGCTCCGTGGGCTCCTGTTCCCTTCTGGCACAGGAGACATCCATGGGGGATGTTTCAGGAGGAGAGACTGGTCTTCAGGTCAGCAAACAGACAGATTATGTCCTTAGCTCCTGCATGTCAAAGCCTCTCTGGGTATAGTCTGATTGGTTTTTCCCAGAAGAGCCGAACGTGACCTTTGCTGGTGGCACTGCCTGAGTTGTGCTCCCAGCACAGCCCTTGGCCACGGGACCAGAGGGAGAGTGAGCACAGCAACCACCTGACTAACACACTGCTCAGGGTTAGCAGCTCCTTTAACCACTGAGGAGCTGAAGTGATGTCTGTCCTCCCTGTGCCAGTGCAGCTACTTGAGAACTGCTGCAACTTCTGCTCTGTTGGTGTTTTGGGTTTGTTTCCTTTTTCAATACCCTCAGGTGATTTTGTTTCATGGTGTCTCCCAATATTTGCCAAGGGCTATTTCTTAGCATTCTCTAGCTATACAAGTGAGTTGAGAACTCAAACACACATCACTTTATACATATGACTTTTTCAATACCCCAAGTTGCTGCTGTGCTGGGATTGGTTTCAAGAGGAGGAGTCCAAGCTATTTAAATTTCTCTGCAAGATCTACTTTTAAGCCCCCAGAAGAGCGAAAATTCATGTCATGAGGTCTCATATCCTGAACTAATATTATCAGATTAGTCCTTTTAAAAATTGAGGTCACTTGGCTTGTTCAAGCCTGGAGGAGACTGAGGGGAGACTTCATTGCTGTCTGCAGCTTCCTCAGGAGGGGCAGACACAGATCTGTGCTCTCTGTGACCAGTCACAGGACCTGAGGGGATGGTCTGAAGTTGTGTCAGGAGAGGTTTAGGTTGAATATCATGACAAGGTTCTTCCCCCAGAGGTGTTTGGGCACTCAACAGCTTCCTAGGACAGTGGTCACAGCTCCAAGGCTGACAGAGCTCCAGGGGTGTTTGGACACAGGGTGCATTGTTGGGGATGTCCTGGGCATGGCAGGAGTTGGACTGGATGGTCCTTGTGTGTCCTTTCCAACTCAGAATATTGTCTGATCCTATAAATTGAGTCAATAAACCAGGTGTGTTCTGAGTAACAGCCTGTTCTTTCATTGGACAGGCTGATACAGAATTAAATGACTGTCTCTATGTGATTATATCTGCAAGAACTACATTTAGGCAATTCTCCTTCTGTGTGGCAATCTCTGGTAGCAGCAATCACAGCCCTGCAAACACAGCTCTGAACACGTTCCCACTGTACCACTCAGATTTCTCCTCCCTAGACAAGGTCCAAGCAGGACACTAACTGCAACTGAAAAGGATTTTTCAAAGCTTCCAGAGCTTTCTCTTTTGTGCAAGAAAGCATGTTTATTGCTCCATTACCAGCACGTTGGAAAGATACCAGGGAACATCTGTCACACTTGAACAAAGATCAGGGAGAGCAGCCTCTGTCACTAAGCCTGAGAATTAAACCCCACACATGCTGCTCTCTGAGCCAGGCATATGGGATGTAAACAGAACCTCTTCTCTGCTGTGTGTGACTCTCATCCAAAGCACAGTTCAGCTCTCTCTCATCTGAAAACCTAACTGCTGTCCTCAGTATAAAAACCAATTAATTACCATTTCCTGAAAGGGAGCTGCTGCTGCTAGCAATTCTACAGGAACATATTGGGGAAGTGGAAATTTACTGTCAAGATGCTGCTGTGAATGTGAGGGGAGCACAGAGCAGATGGTCAACCCCATGACTGCATCCCAGCAGCTTTGTGGGAGGCAGATCAGACTGTTGGGCTTTACACAAGCTCAGGAGAGCTCTGAATGGGGTCAACACCCCCAGACAGTCACACTAGCAAGGCATGAACTTAATATAGTCAAAGCTATTATTACTGCATTCAAATTTAAACAAGGAGCTACAGAAATCTTCCCAAGTCATACATTTTAAAGCAGTTATGTATAGGGGTCATGACCTTAAATTATCTGCTTTGTATTTAGACAGTGTATACTGTTTTGATTATCTGTTTCATATTACTTTTATATAGAGCAACCAACATCCAAGGAAATTCTTTTGTGGTTTTGGCCACCACACAAAGGATGAGGCTTTAGTAACTCAGGCTTTGATGCAGGTTGGTTTTCTTTAAAAAGACAAAACATTCTTCTGAGCAGTTTTAGATTTATGCTGAATATACCTCAAGGTATTGTCATTTGTCATCAAAGTAAGGAAACAATCCACAACAAAACTACTTACAAACTATCTACAGCTACTTCAGTCACATCTTTCATAGACACATTTTTCTCTTCCATTATTTGGACAATTTCACCTGTAGGAAAACACATGACATTTTACTTTCAGCACAAAGCACAACACACACACTGTGCCTGTGTTTCAGAGCTCAACACCCCAACACCTGCATGTGCTTCCAGCCACATTCTCCAGCTCTTATTATCAGCTCCCTCCAGTCAAGGAGCAGTCTGACATTTCCAGCCCTGAAGCAAAGGGCCCCAAACCAAAGTTTCCCTAGTCTTTCTGTTAGGGAAAGTTTGGAAGATGTTTCTACAATGCAGGGGGAAAAAAGAAGCATGTCTAATATGGACACTAAAGGTAAAGACAAGAGCCTCATCAAAAGGTCATTCCTGCCATGAATTTAAGAGTGTTATGGATAACCCCAGTGGAGATTAAATAATGACCACAAACAAGCCAGGCAATGATTTTAAATATGGATTTGCATAACTTTTACCTTCCTCAAGAGGCTAACAAAAAGAAATAGCTGATTTTTCAGATGCATAGCAACTTACTAAGGAGTAAAGACAAGAGCCTCATCAAAAGGTCATTCCTGCCATGAATTTAAGAGTGTTATGGATAACCCCAGTGGAGATTAAATAATGACCACAAACAAGCCAGGCAATGATTTTAAATATGGATTTGCATAACTTTTACCTTCCTCAAGAGGCTAACAAAAAGAAATAGCTGATTTTTCAGATGCATAGCAACTTACTAAGGAAAATATTTGCCACCTTCCCTACATACAGTACCTGTACTACCAGCAGCACAAAAAAGCCAAACTGACAACTAAAGCAGACTTGAAAACAGCAAAGCCTGGCATAAAGGCTGTTCTAAAAATGGTGATGGATTTATGAAGAGTAAGTTTAAAAGGTATTTACCTGATGTCAGAACACAATCAACTTCTGGTGAATTATACAAGGCAGTGTAGAAATCCTCCCGCAAGGCTTCCAGCTTTTTGTCGTAACAAGGTGCCACAACTACATGGAAAATTTTATCAGGAGACAAGTTCTGTGGGATACAGAAGGGAGCACATGTGAGCTCCATGAAGAGTAAAAGACAGCTTGACAAGGACAAAAATAGTGTCATAAACCCCATGCAGGCAGTAACAGGAATCAGTCCCTGGCTGTTAAATTTCAAGACTGCTGCACACAGGAAATTATTTGCCAGAAGTCACAAAGCATCAACAACAAACTTCCAAAGTCTGTCTTCTGGCTGGACCATATTCCTTCAGACCACGTTTTCTGCAGCTTTTGATTGCCTTAGAAAACTTAAATCTGCAAGTGAGGAGGTCAGAGCTCTGGTTTCTAGCTGTCACTCACTTTCACCCACAGCAGTTTCTCTGTCCATGTGCAGACAGCAACACTTGCCTACAGAATGTGGCTGCAGTTAAGTATGATATGTAAAGAAAAGCAACTTTTTCAACATACAAACCTGAGAAGACACAAAGGTTAGTTTCCAGGATACAATGCTTCCATTGATCCCAGATAACAGGGTAGTTTCCACCTTATTCTCCTCTGTTCCTGTTCTGGCTGTGCTGTAGAACTACACAGGCAGCACTTAACAAGAAACCCTTCAGCTGCCACAGATTTCATTTTATCCATAAATATCTCAATCCATGTTGCACTGGCAGTACAAGGATTGCTGCCAGCTCACATTATACCACACTAAATGAGGTTCTTTGTACCTTCTTCTCATCAAGGACACTTGCATAGCAGCAGAAAACCATTAATTCTTCAAGTAAAGGACAAATACAACACACTTAGATTTGTGTTTCGGTGTTAAACCCCACTAGCACATCTCTTATTTAGAAGAGTATCATGGTAAAAATAAAGCAGAATTACTTACCTGCTGCCTGGCAAAGTAGCCCTTCACTAGGGAGCCCATGATCTGCTGTGGAGACTTTGCAGTGCAAATGTGAGACGTCACCAGGTTGGTGAGGACTCTCTCGGCGTACCGAATCCAGCCTAGGGGACAAAGTCACAGTCACAAGTGGCACAGAAGCACAGCAGTGGCAACAGTCACAGAACAGCTCCTAAAAGCTATGACACCTTCACAGTAGGTAGGACATGTCTGTGTAGGCTGCAGCTCCACCTTGGGAACTGCAGGAAACCTCCAGGCTCTGTTAATAAGGCTTTAAGCAATAATTCACTGTGTTATTAATTCTAGACCTAAAAGCCACTGTGAACTTCATGACCTGTTACTCCCTGTCTAATGCAGAGATTTAACAAAGCAGAAAGAACAGGACCTCAGCTAACAAAGAGTAACTTGACCTTCTAGACCTCAGTCCTTGGATCAGCAGATACTACAACAAATGCACTGTTAGCTGCTTAACTGTAACCTGCTATTTCCTCAGATTGCCTCCCCTGGAACAGAAGGGTCACATGAAATTATGATCACAAGATGCACATGGATTAAGCCTGGAAAAAAATGGCTTCTTTGACTATTGTTAGAGTAGCCACACCTTCAGCAACACCCACACCCTCCACCACACACAGCAAGCAGCTGAAATCCCTCTGCAGGCAACATCCTGGCCTTGGTTCCTCCAGGATCCCCTTCCCTTTCCCCAGACTCTGAGGGCAATCCATGAATATTCACAGCACCCCAATATCCAGGGCAGTTGTTATCCTCCACCCTCCAGAGCAGGAGCTCACAAAGGAGCAGCTCAAGGTGTTTAGGGTGTGCAATTTCTGAGGCACTGTAGCTCTTGCTGAAAAAACCACAGCCCAGAATCTGTCACACGAGGGTTTGGAGCTTTTCTTCATCTACATGATACCTAAACTGTGCAGAAGAGTTAGGCCCAACCTTCCAGGGAAGTGTGTTAATTTTGATGCTAAGAAGTAGTGAGAAATATCACACTGAAAGTCTTTTAACTTCAAACTAATTAGTTTGAAGTGAATTAGTTTAACTAAAAGAAAAACTGGTGTGCAGTATGCCCAGGAAGGGTAAAACCTGTAGGTTAATTTTTAAGCTGGAAATAACCACTTATGTAAAACACCTGGTAATGTTTAAGGCAGAACATTGCCACAAAGGCCAAGAGCACCAAAAACTGGGATCCAGGTGGTGGTCAGATGGTTTGCCTCTCTGTAGCAGAGAGATAGTTTTCTCAGTATGAGAAAATCTAACTGATGAAAATGAGAAAGTATTAGGGCAACAGGAGGATCCTCCAGCTCTTTAAATATTGCCAATTTTTGCTGAAGTACAGACTTCAAGGTTAACAGATACTGGTCTCCAAAGAAAAATCTCAAAGACATAGATCATCTTCAATAAACAAGGCTGGAGGCCACAGATTTACAGGTCAGGGCTGTGCTGAATTGCTAGGCTCTGCACAGAAAGTTTGCCCCATGGCCACCTTCAACTGGGACTTTTAGTCCAAGATATCATCTGCACCAAAGAACTGAAGTTCTTGGTGTTTGGTACAAAGGCTCTATTAGCATGTTCTGCATGATAGGTACATCCACTGCTTAAATGGATTTAATCTCAAGGGCTGTCCAAGTGGAACAAAAACTGCTTCAAACAAAATAAGGGCAGTTTTAAAAAGCATTCTGCCCTGTGCTCAGCATTAGTCACAGCACTCCTGCTGTGAGGCTGCTTCTCAGAACCCCAATGTTTTAGATACTGTAGTCAGGAACTAGAAGGACATTTCACTAAATCCCAAGAGATTTCTCACAGGCATTGCCCAAAGCAATTTCTTCAATGGTTTCTGTCCTTGCAGTAGATGGAACAAGTGTCTCATAGTTGCAGCTCCCCACTGACCATTAGTCACTGGTTAATTATGTGAGCAGCCTTGGTGAGTGAGCAACACGAGGCATTTCTCTGCACTCCACACACACTGCTGCTTCTGCCCCTTCATCAGCAGGGCTGAATTCCAGAGCTCCAGGGACAGGAAGCCTTAGATCCCCAGTTCTCACACTGGGCTACACCTGCACCATCCAGACCTACACACTCCACGAGGTCATTTGGATTCTCAGCCTGGCTTGGGTTAGCATCAAAGAGCAAGAAACCCTGCAAACCACTGCACGATTTCTTGCAGATGTATCTCAGAACACATTATATTTGGTGGTTTATTGTGAGAAGATCACGAAGATGCATGCCATAAACATCTCTGCATCTGTAAGAAGTGCAGGAAAACTAAGAATAAACTTTTGCTACCATAAAACCTCATTCCTGGCAAAGGAAATTAGTTGACTGGGACAAAAGCACTTGAATCCTCAATAGTTATGTGGCAAACCTGCCCCAGGGACTTGTTCTGGGAGTACACAGAGCTTAGCAATGCACTGAACAGTTTCCAGAGCAAGTGCTTGGTGTTGTTTGCCAGTTTGGGACATTGAGGAGAAGACCTGATGACGCTGAGATATTACATGTGCAATCAGTAGTTACACTGCTGTACTTTCAACAGGTACAAAACCAAACATTAGCTCACTTTCTCTTTGGAGAGCAGCAGCAGGAGGCAAGAACACTGCAGACAGGGGCAATAAAACACCTTTTATCAGGTTCTGGCACCACACATGCTGTGCTCTTTGCTCCTGGCAGATGAGACCTCAGAGACTGCTGCAGAGGGTGATAGCTCTGGGCAGAGTCACACCCCAAGATAAGTCAGAGGAAAGCAGCTACACTCGAGTTCTTGTATCTACAAAGCTATATGAAAACTATTTTGTGATAAACACACCCAGTAAACATTTCTGGGACAAATTTATGTAATCTGAGGGTAGAGAAAGGAAGGAGAATAAGGAACAGAAAATGCACTCAGGCAATTAAGGTCAATGAACAACCTTACTTTAGAGACGACTGATCATGATTTTTGCTTTCTCTAATTGCTGTCAATTAAAGAAACAAACATACCACGTTTCCCAAATGGCTTTACACAGAGTGATATTTCAGTTCAGTTTCCCAGAAATGGAAAGTACCTGCACTTCTGCTGACGTCTACACCACAACAGAGAGCTAACACCATAAGCAGCACTGAAACCAGAAACTATCTTGTATAGACTAGAAAAGGGCAAGAAAAGCACACCCAGATACTTCCACTACAGAATACACAGAACAAGCAGAAGTACAAGTATAATTCAAACAGCATTTAAACCTCAATCAGTGATAACAGCAGATTCTGGGTGTCACCAAATGCAACTCTAACTCACTCTCCTCAACATTTCTTAAATGGATTCAATCCACTTCAATTCAAGCTAGCAAGAAATATTTTTATCAGCCTTTTGAAAAGCAACACCATGAACTTCAAGGTGGAGTTGAGGAAGGGTTAGGCAAAGGAGTTACTTCTACCTTGTTTTTGTTGCTTCTTTTTCAAGAAGTGTGACTTAAACTGAAATGGTGCTGTGCTGAGAAATGGAAGAAGTAAGCAGTGACTGGAAGTTCTGCATCTTTTCAGCTGTGATGTGTGCAGGCTCTGTTCATAACAGAACACATTCTCAGGTGCAGAGATCTCAGAAGTGAGACATTTAATGAGTCAGGTCTGTGACATCTCGTGTGAGAATTACTTTCTAGGTGTCAAACATAAGCAGCTCCCAGTCATTCCAAGGAGTGTCACTTGCTGCTTTCCCCTAGGCTTAAGTAGCAAGTTCAAAACTTTGCTTAAGGTAACAGAGGTTGTGGTTTAATTCTATCCAAGCTCCTTAAAGATTCTTTTCAATAAGGAAACGTCCTGTTAAATTTTGTGGCCTGAACACACAAGCAACAACCACTAACTCCTCCATTCCAGTTCTGATTGTCAATTCCAGGCACTGCAATGCACTGAGGATGATGAGTGATACTGGGAACAAGTACTGTGTGCTTAGTCTCCCTCAAAAGCAGAACAAAAAAACACTCAAAAGTTGTGCAATGCTCCCAAACAGAGCCACCCTTTGCTCAGTTCCTGGTAGCTCCTATGAGACTAGGCTGAAGGGCAGGAAGGATGGATAGATGAATTCTCACCAGGGCAGGCAGAGGCAAACATTGGTAAGGCATGTTCCTCCTGGTTCCTCCGCTGGTACCGCTGCACAAATTCCCTCTGGCTCTCCAGGATACTGAAATCTGCAGCTATGGTGGTGTCAAATACATAATGCACCCCTAGGAAAGCAAGCAGAAAGGAACTCTAAATTACTACAGTGTTTTCCATCTTGCAGACTTCCTTCAGAGCTCCAGACCTACAGAAAAAAACTGGGAGGCTCAATGGGTATATGCTTTGCCCTTCCCAAAGCTTTACAAGTAGTAGAGTCAAAACCAAAAGCTACACACTGGAAAACTAGCTTCTGTGTCATGAATTTAAAAGGACTACCAACTTGCTACTGCTGCTAGCAACACTGCCAAGAGTACTCTGCTTTCTTCTGAGCAGCTCTGCATTCAGCACCTATTGCTTGCAGTTTAACTGGACAGGATTGCATGACTCCTGGGCAATACGCAGTGACACTTGGAGTGTTCTGTTCAAGACATGCTGAAGCTACACATTATCCAGAAAAAATAGAAGCAGCTGAGAGTCATATCTTCCACTGCTGAAGTCTGCAGAGGTACAGGAACATATCATCAGCACAGCAGAGACCTTCTGCCTGCTTATTCAGCAGCATACTCCCTATAGGCCTACGTAATTCTGAGCCTGTCCCCACAGTGAGTGTAGATAATGAGCATGTTCTGAGAAAACTGAGCCCCATCAGAACTTGGCAGTACTTTTAGATGAAGAAAATACACTGGGTACAAAGATGCATCATAAAAACTATGAAAAAATGATATATACAGGAGGAAATAATTTATAGGTTTATTACTGTACTTTTTCTAAACTTATAAGCAAAGCAGCTTTTGTTTTTTAAATAAAACTTTGTGTCTATACTATAAAGAGCAAAGAAAATACAGCTTTAAGATAAAATAGGCAGATACACACAGTTCTTGCAGGTAATTTCACACTACAGAAAAAAAACCATAACTGAGAATCTTCTAGAGATACAATGCATCAAAAAGACTGGAAGGCATTTAGGATGAGAATTCCTCCTCTCTCTAGTTACAAAACAAGGTGAAATCTTATTGAAGCTCATGGCCAAATCCTTCCTGATATCTTGATGAGGTTATGAAGCCAGCCTTGTAATGTCCTTCCTTTCTGTGACCTTTTCCATCAGCAGGGAACACCTCCAATCCATCTCTGACACTGCCACGTGCCACACTGGTGCCCTGTTGTTAACATCAGTGTGTGCAGTGCAAACTCTGACTGTGCTATGGCACCTTATGGCCACATAGCAAAATATAATGGAATAGAATCACAATGGTTTGGCTTGGAAAGATCATCTCATTCCACCCCCTGCCATGGGCAGGGACACCTTCCACCAGCCCAGGTTGCTCCAAGCCTTGTCCAACCTGACCTGGAACACTCCCAGGGATGGAACAGCCACAGCTTCTCTGGGCAACCTGTGCCAGTGTCTCACCACCCTCACAGGAACAATTTTTTTCCTAATACCTAATCTAACCCTGCCCTCTTTCACTCCAGGCCCTTGTCCAAAGTCCCTCTCCAGCTCTCTTGTAGCCCCTTCAGGTACTGGAAGGCTGCTGAGGAAGCAAAAAAACCCAAACCAATCCCCCCTTTTCTGCAAACCCAAACTTACCAAGACTTTTGAGGAAACCACAGAGTCTCTTGGCTGCTTCATTCACAGAGAGATTGAATTTAGCAGCAAAATAAGGCAATGACTGAGGGCATATAGACACTGCCAACACTTTGTGTTTTGAGGTATCACATTTCTGGTAAACAAAACAAAAACCAAGAAAAAAAAGATGTCATTACAACAGGGTAAGGCTCCTTGCTTTCCCTCCCCCTTTTCACTCCTGGAGCCATTCCTTAGTGTCCTGTGCTTCACTGGGCCATATCATTAACAGCCCTGTGAAACCACCATCAAGTTCAGGCAGGACAGGATGTTCCTCTGATCCTGTCAGTGTTTATCTCCAATCATCTGTAGAGGTTTTTTATATAACTCAGGGAAATCCATCCCTCCCCCGGGGACAATTCTGTGGCTGGTCTCTGTATGGCATAAGGAAAGACAAGAGACATTCAGTACCTATGATGTTCTAGCAATATGAAACATTCTAGCAAGTGTGAAAAGAGCTGTATGTTTAAATATTATTAAATCAACTCATGTTTACAGAAGCAGAGACATTTGAAGCTATAAATCCAAGCCAGCAAAACTATTTTAAGTACTTGAATGTTCATCTTGCCTCAAGTTTTCACTTCCTCTTTAGAAAAAGAGTATCCTGGCCAATCTTCACGTTATCTGCCCTGGGAAACCAAGCTGCTTAGTCACTCTGTAACTGCCTTCTCCTCACAGAAAACACTGTTATTGCTGGGGTCACTTTACCTTATTAAGGTTGAGAACACGAAAGAACTCCTTCTGATTCTGCTGGAAAACTCTGGCTCCTTCTTCCGATGTCATGCAACTGTCACATGCTAAGCAGTCGCTAAGGAGTATTTTAGCATTAGCCAATGTATCAAACTCATTTTTCTAGGGAGGGAAAAAAAAAACGTGAACAAGTCTTACAAGTTTTCAATGATTGAATGGTTTTCAAGACCTTGCAATGAGCCAGCTGAAGAGCAAACATGCTATCACTGGTTTCAGACAGGACATGACACTTGCATAACATCCAAGATTATATACAAGTAATCAGAATAATTTGTTCCATCCCTTCCATGGCTCTGCTCCTACTATCACTGTGGAACTGCAGCATGGTGAAGTGTAAACATAGATCTAAATTTAGCCCCATGTCTATATTCTAGTAATGTGATTTGCACTGCACTTCAGGGCTGACAGTCCCCAGCAAGTCCCCAAGCAACTGAGAAAACTCTGACTTGACCCATTAGACATCTTTAGAGAGGCCAGATGTCCCTCTAAGAGCAACATGGCTTGGGTTTGTACCACGGGGTAAACCAAACAGAACACAGTCCTACAACTACATTGAACAGATCAGGAGTTTCCTACTTCTGGCCATGACACCACTGGCAGCTCACCTGAGAAGAAGGAATAATTGGATATAAAGAACAAGAAGACATTTTGTCTACTTATAATATCAAAATTCAAGCTCTGCCTCTGTTTTGAAGACCTGGTATGAGATTTTTGACACTCCAAAAATTTTTAGAACTTATAATTTCTGTCTTGTATTTGCATACTAAGGGGTTTTATGTCACCTTTTTTAAGGGTTTTAGATTCACATGAGATGTCTAGAAGAGCTCGTAATTGCTTACAGCTACTTGTTGATTAGTGTTGTATTTAGTACTTGAAAGTTGTCTCCTTATAACCTCCTTCAGGGCACAAACCAATGCAAACAGAGTCTATTACAGCTTTTCAAAGGAACATTACCTCTTCAAAGCCATGGTTTGTACTCAGTGCATCAACAGATGTACTCTGTGTATCGTCATTCTTCTGTTTTTTACTGCATTCCTGAAACAAAACATAAACCACGCAGATTATGCAAAGCCTGCTCTCTGCTCCCAAGAACATCTCTGCAAAACTATTTGTATCATTAACCACTAATGGATTTATTTACAGGGGTTTTTTTTTGGCAACGTTCATTCTCCTCTTTCGCATACAACGCCTCGTGTTCAAAGTGCAATCGTTAGGATGGAAATAATACCCCAGGAATTCCCTTGCTTCATCAGCTTCGGAGCGCGGAGAGCTTTGCTAACCCACGGGGGAGGCTGCAGAGGAGGAGCTGTGTGAGCTGCGAGACGCCTGGACAGGGTCACAGACACTGACACCGCGATGGTCACTGCCACCACTGCCCGGGGCTCTGCCGGGGACAGCTCGGGGCTCTGCCTGGGACAGCTCGAGGTTCTCCCGGGCAC